ACTGAAGTTAGCATCACAAGGCCTCCCTCGACAAAAAGTGTTGGGATTTTTCTGTTGGATTTTGGAATATTGCAAGACACAAGATATTTGGCATACAAACGGTTCTGTTTAGCAGGATAATCTCCACATATCAACACCACTTTTATGATATTTGAAGTCTAAATGCAATTATTGAAAAAAAAGCTAGCGTAAGGCTATAAACAAACTACATCATTGCTGCGCATCACCACCGCTAAGCTAAAGGTGGCTTATGTTCTGCGTAATGACGTTTGGATTCTGATTTAGTCACTTTTTATGACACATATATGCTCAGACATTAACCAGTGGGGTATTTACTGAAGTATTTTATGTTGTTAAATGAAATGTTAAAATCTCTCTAGCTTGTGTTATCCCTCTTATATTAGGCCTCTAAAACCAAAACAAGTGCAGAAAAAACATTGACTTGAGACGAGTGAACCCAAAGTGATTGAATGCTAACTCATTTTGGGGTTTTAGGACTCATTACTGCAGCTCTCTATGGACAGATTGTATTGTACCTTCATCAATAGAATGGATGGAGACCCTAAACTCATGTACACCTTTGTATTTCCTTCAATGACCGATATAGCACTCAGTTTTGAAATATATCAATCTTATTTATTTATAATAATTCATTCTATTCAGAGTCACCTTTCAAAGCACCCAAGGACACCTATGTCGGTAGTTTATTGTTAAGGTTTCATCCTTTGCCTGGAGGGAAAACAACAGACCAATATTCAAAATGTCAGCACATGTTGGCACAGGAAAAGGCTGTTTACCAGATCCAGACTAACTTACATAATAAATGGTGGTTTTACAGGTCAGAGTTTACCGGTGTACATTTGTGAATTGTGTTACTACGTCTACTGATTTTTCAAAATGCGCCTTAAAAACAACTGAAATATTGAAATCGTTTTAATTCCCCATTGTTGCTGATTTAAAATGTGATCATTGATGGTTTGGAACAACAGAAGATATTCGTGTTAATGTTTTGCAGTTTCTATAATGTCTAGGTGGTGGTTGCGTGACTGGTTTTGCAAAATGTCTAGGTAGGTGCTGAACGGTGATGCCGTCAAAGATAAGAACTAACACCCAGTAATAAGTCAAATAAGAATATAACCCAAAAGAAAAAGACTAATGAGATGAGTTCCCACACTTACTGGAGTAAAAGGTATTTTCACTACTGACTGCAGGACTGTGACACCTAACCCCAAACCCAATAATGTTGAATAACTGCAACTAAACTGAGTTCCTAATGCATGCTTAAGTAAACATGAATTCAGCAGCTTAGAAAATAGTCAAAATAAGTCATGAGTTAAATGACATAAAGTTAATACATTTATAAGCACGCATCTTGTATCATGTCCTTTCAGTGAATACAGTCATTTATCGTGCCAAAGTTGTGCAAAGTCATAATTTGCTTTATGAAATCAGTTTATATCACATATTAGGAGCTAAGTATGGAATTAAGACGCAGTGTTTGCTAACAGTTCAAAAAATAAAGGTTGAAGACAAACTTATGGAATGAAATGATCATTTGAGGACAGAAGGATTTACTGCTCAAATTAACTCTATGAACCCCTCAACACGTGGAAGTGTTTGTGTGTCAAATCTAACCATCAGTGCAGCTCTCAGCAAAATGCCTAAAATGTTACTTTTATTCTTTTCTATTTAGTCCGTGACAAAAAAGATATGGCATTGGACGCAGTGGATCACAAAGACCAGGATGGATCTTTTGATTACCAGTAAGTATAAAACCCAACTTTGTTTAAATGCTTCCCTTTGAAATGATTGGAAGTTAACTTGAAAGTCTGTAAATGTACTTGGTTGTATGATTATTGAGTAGGAGTGCCACGTCTTATCTTTAATACTGTGTGAAGATTATGGTACTAATTAAAATACAGAGGTATTTGAGTCAGTTCAGGCAATGGCGTGTGTGTTTACTGAAACGCATGTTTAAAGGTTACATAGGTTAGCTTAATAAAACAAGCAAAGATTCAGTATGGCTCTGAACAGAAGATCATTACTGAGTCTTAAACCAACAAAATCACAAAGACCTGCTATTTATTGAAACTGCAGGAAACCTTAGATGTCTCACTGTAAATGAAAACCTTGTTTTGAATATTCTTATTGGCATGGTGTCCATATCAAGGTGGCTCTAGTTATTATAGCAGATAGAGATCTTTTGAACGATGGCCGAGACTCAGCTCAAAGACTTTGTCCTTTAGAAAGCCCTCTATTACTGGGGCCAGCTCAGCATTGTGAGCAGTAGGTCATGTGAGCAGTAGGTCATGTGACCAGAGGAGGGTTTCATCTGAGAAATCCAGATCAAAGTTGTAATAATAAAGCCGTTTCAGAGCACAGAAGTGCCAGGCATGGTGCTTACTGCATGTTTGGTAATGAATAATGCTAAACATGGCTCCTTCCATCACTAAGGCAGATACATTTGAAAACACATTTTTTCCACACAGAAGAGTGAAGCTTTTCAAAATAGCTCTGTAGATACATTTGAAAAAGATGCTCTCATGTATGGAACTTTTAATAAGTAGCTTGTGTTGTAATAAACATAAAGGTCCTAACGCAGCTGCTGCCCAGGAAATACTGTTAGCTTTAATACGCAGGAAGCTTCTAGGACCTGTGGTGACCCTGTACTGTGGCGACACTGAAACAATACAAATGGATTAGAGAGAAAGTCAAAGGCAACAGAAGTGACAGAACAGCAATGTCTGTCACACAACTGTATTTCTATGAATCATTATTCAACATCTGCCGTTCCAAAGCAATTTTTTGTTTGCTAATTTAGGGTTAGGGTTAGGGTTGGAGTTAGGATTATCACAGAAAGCAAGTTGTAGAGTTGACAACTGTTTGACATTTTTAGAGTGTTTTCTACACACAGTTCCTTAACCTAGTTTTATGTTAAGAAGGCAATTGTGTTCGTATACTGCTAATTACTGAACATGTGCAGTAGGGTTTTTTCGGAATTGTGACAATATAGTATATTGTGTACAGTTTGTGTAAGTGATGTGTCTTTTGCTCCTTCCAGGTCCTACTGATCTCTTCTTTATGAAGAATGAGTCTGTTTTTTCTGTATCCGTCCACTCTGACTAAAAACTTTTCAATTTAACCTGCCTTCTAAATCTCAGATACTACCACTACATGTTCTCACTCAGCCGTGTGAGAGTGACACAAGCTTGTATCTTTTATTGTAGACACCGTGGAATAAGACAAGGCCTCTGAATCTTAATGACAAGTTGACAGTATGAACCGAACAGCTTCGGGCAATGGCTTATCATTGTGAAGCTATGCTCTGATGCAGGTTGTTTTGAATAAAAGCATTATATAAAATAGCATTATTTCATTGACAAAACACACTGAAAAAACGTAATCGTTGACTTTAATCAAACGTATTATAATACATTTGATTAAAGTCAATGTTTCAGTTTTTTCAGAGCAGTGCGTCTGGTGGCACTGAAATTCCAAAGATGGATCAGATGAGGGTTCAGTGAACCTTAGAAAGAGGCACAATCCGTTTCTGCTATCATCTGAGCGCTGCTGTGCCTAACACTGATGAATCCCTCTCCAGTGTGGGGGCCCCTGCCTGTTATCTAATCAATAATTACTCTAAATCACATTAACACCCAGCCCGTCTCTCACACTCAAGGTCTTTGCTTTACTCAGCCCTCAGCACCCAGCTTCCAGCTCTGTGTGTGTTGTGTGTGTTTGTGTGTTTTTGTGTGCATGCAGTATTTACATGCATGTTTCATGTGGAGCTCCTTCCTCCCTCTCTCTATCTCTTCACTTCCTCTCTCTTGCTGTCTCCCCTGTTTCCTCTCGACTCGACCCTCTCTCTCCCCCATGCTGAAACGGGTCATCTGTCCCTGACAGGAATGAAAATGAAAATGAAAACGAAAACGAGAACGAGAACGAGAACAGGTACTTTGGTTTTGGCACGGCATCTCTCTTGGCCTGTGCATGTCGAGGGGAGCAGGTGTTCCCCTGAGCTGGGGGGAACGTGGGCTGGATAATGTGCAGCTTATTTGGGGAGACCCCCCCAATCTGCCTGATAATGCATCGCTGGCTCTTTGGCCAGCCTGCAAAGAGTGCACAGATTTCATTCATGAAATATATCTGGCCTGCATTTGTCTCAAAAGCAATATGTATACCCTGTGATGGATGGAGGACTCGTCATATGATGCAGCGAACCCGCAGTGATGAAATATGATTAGAGAGATGACAGCAGTGCTCGCCTCTGGTTCCTTATGGGTGTCAAACTGTCGATCAAATCGTCAAGCAAACTATATAACCTTCGTGTTTGTTTGAGGCCAGGGCTCCCACGAAATCAATGAGGTTGACTAATATGTTTTCCCTTTTAGAATTGCTTCCTCGTCTCAGTAGAGATGCTGTAACACTTAAAGTGAGTGAACACAATAAACCCAAAACACATCAGAGATTATGGAGGTATGTCTTTGAACTGAGAACAATGCAACATACTTGACCACAAAAAGCAAAAGATCAAATCAATCAAGCATTTAAAACAATTTGCATCAGATAGGAAAAAAAGCATATCAGTGAGTTTTAAAAAGACTTGGGAACCTGAGCATTAAAGGCTTACACATAAACAGTGACCTGTTTGATCAGTTCAGTGTGCTCGCTTCTCTCTGTACACATTTTCTGTCAGCTTCCAGTCTTCATGTTAAGCTAAGCTCAACAGACATGAGATTCACGCTGACCTTAATGAAGTCCTGTTATAGATACAAATTGTATTTTTCAAAAGGCTGAACTATCCCTTAAGTGAAGAGAAATGCATTAAGTTACCAGGTGATTTGTTTGTGGACAAAATAACAAGCTGCAGGTCTGATCAGAGCCACAGCCCTTCCTCTCTGCGGTTGGAACAAAGCTCTTTAGTTTGCATGGTCAAACCTTGAGACAGGCTTTCATGTTTTACACTTCAAACTGAAACATGCTCTATACTAACAGATTCATCCCAACATATCCTCCATCACCCTGGTGATACTTATACTGCTTTCATTGCCTACCTTTGGAATACAAAAATAAAATGATTACACAGTGAATTCACTGAAGAGCAGGATGAAAGGCAACTATCCTTTTAGGTAAGATGCATCAAACAAAACCTTTCAGGGCTGTATAAAAGATCTGAACTAAATATATCTTGGTTCTGCCCTGAGCTCTAAAACAACCACATGTGGAGAGAACATTAGCACTCAAACCTCAATTAAAACACACAGAGCACACACACCGCCCCCTGCCTTCCAGTAAAACGTTTCATTGTTGTGAAAGGCTCCAAGCTGCTTTCATCGAGCTCAATATTGGAGCAATAATAATCAATTCATCTTAATATAACATTGCTGCTGTTACAGAAGTCTTCGTCCCTATAACCACATCATGAGTCAGCTGTTCTGCAGTAACTGAGACGTGATCCCAGAGAGCAGCCTGACACTATAGGTCTGACCCTTCAGTGCTCTAACATGTGTTCACCCTTCTAGAGTTCATTACAATGTTTCCCTCTGCCGGCCGACATTTACAAATCAACGCAGGTGCATGGGGCGATGGAATCTATTTGTGTTGTAGTGGGGGCCGGGAGGCAGGGAGATGTTTGGCACAGTTTGACACCCTTAAGGAAGTGATTTAGGCAACAAACAAGTGGAGAAAACATTTGGAGGAGAAAAGATTAAACCAACATTTCAAAGATCTAACCAACTTTAAAATCTAGAAATGACTTCAAAGTAAAAACCCTATGAAGTACATTTCTTCTACGCATAGCTTCTCTTGTTCTCTCAATCTTGTTTGGCATCCTGTCTTCTAGTTTTAATGTGCAGCACAAGAGCAAAACATCAATATGTCACAGTTTTATCCCGCATGAAACAAATGAGCGTGCTCTAGTGTAGTTGTTTAGAAATCAATCCGATGTATTATAACCTGGGGTTTCATTTGTGTTGTTGGCCATCAGTGATGTACACACCAGGCAACATTGGTAAAAAGGGTCGAGAATCACTCAGCCCATCATACAGGTTGTAAACACTTTTTATTGAGACAACAAATGTGAACAATAGGATTAATCATTAATTGAACCCACTTACTGATTCCACACATTTATTTTCTTGTAATGAAGTATTATACGTAACATATTGAGAGATACGCTTGATTTCAGTTTTACCCTATTCATTTAGTGTTTTAGATCAACGGTTGGCTTGGTCCCGTCCCAGCCCTGTTGTCAGACAAGAACATAGAGATTGTGTGGTTGTACACCACGGATGATGTGGCGCTTAATCGCACAATGGCATCCTGGGCTGCCACAATCCGTGTGACTGCTGGGGTTACCTGCCACGCCAAACTTAGTTTTTTGTGAATTCCCTCTATCTGAACAGCTGGTGCCTACAGTGTTGTTATAGCTGGTAGCAATTGATGGCCAGAACCACACAAATAAGACCCAAGTTGTAAAAGGAGGAAAAAGATGGCCCTGACACATGCTATGCTGCCCCAAAGCTCAAACCTTTGTTTTGGTTTCATGCCATTAGGATTATGACAATTGAAATGTATTAACTGCCACCCTAAAAGACATATACATGTTAATGTTGTCCCTTTTCAGTTTTACAGTAGTATATCTGTGTATGTCACATGTCTGTTGTCCATCTGTCATGACTGTATTTCTGTTCTACCCTTCCCACTTTATGTCTGTGCCCTTTGTCTCTTTTTTATTTTCTCATTGGTCCAAAGGTCTCTTGAAAGGTAGGACAGGAGAAGAGTCTCCCCCTGAGTCCTCCTAACCTGCTCTAATATGATCTGCTGATTTGCTGTGCATTTTAATTTATTAATGTCTGTTAGAGCCATTCCAATGTGTTATCATCCGACTGAACTTGATCTATCAACGAAAAGCATTCCAAAGCATAGTTAATCCAATAATGGATCATATAAAACTAGTTGATGATTTGTATTGTCAACGACTTTCAAACTCTATATTTATGTTAATCTGTGTCATTTTCCTGGGATTTCATGAACGCTGAAAGTGGGCGCTTTTACTTTCTATTTTGGAAGGTTATTCACCCACTCCCATCCTACTCCACCCATCTTTGCTCTTAAAGTCACCTAATCAGATAATAGAATCCTTCCCGACTCTTTCATTCTGAAAACATTTCCAAGTCACTTTATAACAGTGTGTGCGGTAAGCAAGCTTGGCAAATGGGTTCAGGGAAAGCGGTTTAAAAATGTCCCTTCCTATTGACCAGATGTATTTGATTAGCTGTGAGAGAGGTTATCTGGAAGTGTTTCAGTGGCACTGGTACAGACAGAAGCACACTCAAAGGATATGAAAAGACAGAAAGACTTTGTAGCTGCCAGCACACTGGACTGTGTATAACAGGCATCTTTAGTGGCATAAGCTTTCTCCCTTAACAAACGTGGCAGTGCGTGACACATTTCTGCTGGTTCTATAGCGCTATGCTTCTGTCGTTTGACGTGTTAACAGACAGCCTAAGCTGCTAAAAGATTTGGGTTAAATAGAAAGGGATTGTCTTAACTAATTAACATTCTAAATGATTTTAAGATGACGTTCTTACCCTCCCACCCACTTTATGCTCAACTCCCACTCTCTTCACCTTTTCATCTCTTCACCTTGTCAGATGTCCGCATGTGTTCAGACAGCGTCCGTAGTTCTACTTTCTGCTAACGGCCTCTCGCTCTACTCTGAACGTTTTTATGTGGATTTATATAACAAATACTGGATGTGGGTTGAATTAGCTAGATTCTAAGTTTGTCAGAATGTGATTGGTCCATTTGTACTTAAACACAGGTATGGTTTCTAAAATGTGATGTCTGTGGTTCCCGAAGTGTTTCCGCATGGAGCATGATGAATCTGAGAAGCTTCAGTGTACATTCGGTTCTGTTCCCCCATGGGAATCTGGATAGTTAATATGATAACCATAATATGCTATAAGCAGACCTGAGCGGAAAAAAGAAATAGAAAAGGAGAAATGTTTCACTTCTGCATCCTTAAGTGCATTTCCTGCTGTTATGCTACTGACCTGATCTGAAAAGAAAAGCTAATGCTAGCCTGTAGCTCTTACTTCCTGTGCATGACGTTCTCTTCCCCTAAAGTCAGAGTGAGGAGCCATCTGTAGTCAGCTCTACAGATGAGGTGCAAATGAATTCTACTGCTTGGATCTCATGTCAGAATATGGCCACATTTAGCATGTGTATGCACATTTCTTGTTTGAATCTTTACCACAGTATTTATGTCTTTGAATCACTCCTGTCTCCTACCAAATTCTGTATGTTCACTCATTCACTTTGCCAAATATCTTGTAGGTAATATTTTCACTGGCACTGTGTTTTCCAGTCGAGGAAGTGTGTTTTAAATATTTTGTACAGAAGTCACAGCGTATCTTAGATAATACAGCGTTGTTAGGCTTAGGGATTAGGTAAGGAAATATGAAACAGTAAACAGTTTGATAAAGAGAAAAATAACTATATCCTGGCAATCGCATTTCAAATAAAACAAATTGGTGGAAGCTAGATTTCTATGAACAGAATTTCTAGGAGACAGGGTTGCTTGTAAAACAAATATGTATAATGTTCTCTAAAATACTCTTTACATTTGACAACAACAAGCATCTTTGATATAAAATACAAACGCAGCTATCTTGTTAAATGGTAGGTTTGGATTTTCTGAGCTCTATCTTGATACAGTACTCACACACCAGTAGTATGACGCTCTGTGGTCTTTATGGTTAGGAGGAATAAATACAGAGACACGTCCACATTACCAACACCATGTGCGTACTGTATTTTGATAGATTTTAAATCATTCAAACCTATCCTTTAAAGAAAATATGGAAAAGAAATGAATTGTATAAATCTGAATTATAGTCAGAGTGACCTGAACATACAGTCACTTCAGTAAGAGTTTGAAAAGCTGAAAATATAAAGTTAACATCATTTCTTTACCTGCAACCCCCATAACCTTTCACTTTCCCCTCTAACCTGTGCCGACGGGATGACCGGGTCTCCACTTCCTGCTCACACCATGACAACTTCCTGCTTCCATTTTAACTTTGAACTCTGCTTCACCTTTACAGCAGCGACGAGGACAACAAGCCTCTGCAGGGCAGCCAGACGTCTCTGGACGGCAACGTGAAGGAGAGCGACGACAGCCTAGTGGACTACGGAGAGGGCGGCGATGGCCAGTTCAACGAGGACGGCTCTTTCATTGGCCAGTACACGGTGAAGAAGGACAAGGACGAAACGGAGGGCAACGAGAGCTCTGAGGCCACCTCGCCCGTCAACGCCATCTACTCGCTGGCGTAGCGCCGTAGAACCACCCGGGGGACGCGGTGGCACCCTCTGATTTCAGGGTGTTACCACAAACCACAACACAATACACCAGACACAAACACACACACGTGAATATATTAATATATGAAACACATTAAACACAGAAGGGACGCAGCGGCCTGTCTGGAGACTGCAGGCTTCCCTCTGCAGTATCGGGGGAACAGGAGTGGAATCAGACCACAAGCCTCTATTCTAGTTTCCAGCTGGAAGAAATGGACCCACTGGAGGTGACGTTGGGACAAAGAGGACTGTGCTCGTTTTCCTCTGCTCCGCCTGCCCCTACACAGACTTGGGAGCAGCCTTCAGCACGTGGAGGCATTGACAAGCGTTCTTTAAAGATTTGACCTTGGTTGGTTTCTGCTCCAAACATTTTCAGCGTCCCTGCTCTCCTTCCTGATTCGCCCCTCAAAAACCTCTGTGAAGCATCCCAGTAAAGTACACACACGAGGTCCCTTACGCACACACGTCCTGTAACATATCAGCTTCTAACCATCAAACTCAACAGGATGCCCGCAGATATGTTTATCATATTGATATTTACGCAATGAAAGAGTTTAGTTTTTCCACAGCTGGTAGACGAGTCATTAATTCTTAATGAGTGCTGTATACAGTCCTGGCACACATTTTAGTGCCCTGCAAAACTATGCACTATCACCTCCTTCATAACATTTTGGGTTTGATCTGGTTAGTAAAAGTACACGTTTTGGGTTTCTTTTTTACCACTTGCAAACTAAATCACATGCTTTTATTCACTTTGCCTTGTTCGATGGAGTAGACATGTTTTTCTTACCTCTAATCCAATATTGTAGTGCAGATGTTCAAAATGGCCGCCACAAGAAAAGCTATTTCTGCCACAAGCACCAAGCTCTGCTAAAGTATGTTGTTAATGAATCCCTTTTTTTTAAGAATGACTATTTTGGAGCATGGCAGTAGCTTAGTGCAAGGAGGCAAACGAGAGGAAAGTTAGTTTTGCCTGAGAAAAACGGTAGACCACAACCGAGTCAATCCCCTAGTTAGCATGCATGCTAACTCTGCATTCATGTCACATGGGGACAACTGTCGGCTGACAGTGACCATGTTTCTGTTTTTATTTCGGCTTTGGTTGACCATTTGCTACACACAGTACTTTTTAAAGTAATTTTGCACCAAACAAGACATTGCAATGTCAACGCTAATAATAAAACAAGTTACAATTGCTTTTTATTTATTTATAAATATTCCAAATTACCTATATTAATATTTGTAACATTTACACCTTCATTCTGGAAGTTTAGGGCCCAAATCGCAAAGATCCCAATGACTTTTTATTACGTGTAAGCCAAGTCATGTTTTCAAGTTGGACGCTTAAATGTACTTTTACCCAATGGGACATGAATGCAGCTTGAGAGCCAGGAATCCTTGAGGTGTGTTCAGACTACATGTTTGCCTTTGATTCATTTTACCATATGTATGGATTGTGTTTTGTTTTTCATGCTTTTGGCATTCTGAGTTTATTTGCCTTAAAAAGCCATTTAAAAAACATTAGAGTAACATGCACTGACCTGCAGTTCTCTTTGTTACTCCAGACCTTTTTGTTTATGAATTGGAGTCATTAAGCCTAAAAATAGACACAACGTTTTGCTGGATGACACGTTTGGATTATTTAATTTGTGCATTGATTTTGTATTCAATCACACCACCTCTGAAATGTCAGTCTGAACCCACCTTTACACAGGAATCCAATAATCTTTCCCTCCCTCTAGTTTTTTTAACTCGATTATTTTGTCAATCATTACCGATAAAAAAGGCACTAGGGCAAGAATACTTGAATTTACAGCATGAAAATATATACATTAAATTCACAGCCACCGTTGAGATGAAACGTATCCACTAGTTTTTTAGTTTTTGCTGAGGAAGAAAGAAAAAAGAAAAGAAGTATGTACACTCAGTATTTCACTTGCCAACAACCATGTTTGTCCTTCTGTTAGCTCACTGATGGACTGACTTTATTTTCTACTAAACGTTCACTGAGTGCTTCTCAATTCACCTCATCATGTCGGCACTCAGACTTAGTTACAACAGCACTATTAAACCTCCGATGCTAAATCAAAAGATCTTAACAGCAGTTAGCGACTGCAGTTCACTTTTTATTTTAAATATTTATTTTATATTTCTATTTATTACATTATGTGGATAGTATTAATATAAGTCCTTAATTTAATTAATTGTTATATACATATTTCTTACCAACTTATTTTGTTGTTTCACACTCGAAATAGCCAGAATAAAGATGTCTCCTGAATCTGTTATTGTTCATGAGAAGCATAAACACAACTGTATGTTTCAGATATGTGTGTCAGCTGGCTTTCCAACATGAGAATACCTGTCATGGTTGTTGTTAATCTGTCATTGTGCTGCTCTTCTCGTACTCATGTTGTATTACAGTTACTCTGTGTTTTACTTCAGATGTATGTACCTTAACCTTCCCACCACACAGTTATTATTTATTTGACATATATTCTGTACATGTAGGTCCTGATCTCTTATATTTGTAAATATATAAAAGTCGATTCCCCCAAAAAATGCTTTATCCGAAAAGGAAACTAAAAGTCACAAATGTGTATCCAGCAAGCAAATGTGACAGGTGCAACTTGGTGTGTCACGCACCTCTGTAAAGTAGCTTTGACTAACGTTTGCACTCTGAAAAAAAGTAACAAGAATCATCCTCCACTCAATGTTGCCCTTTGCGTTGTGATGTACGGTGCTGACTGTGGCCGGTTATCAGTCAATCGTTTGATGATGGTTTGGGTTGTATATTGTGAGGAATATGTTAGATTCTGTAAGATGTAAATAAGACAGAAGTGCTCCAGAGTTGTAGCACAGTTTTAGTAGGCCTAAAAAGAACATTGCTGAGGTATTAGATCACACTCCCCTGCTTGAAACCGTTTTACATTGGTCATCTCTCTGAGGCCGCAGACTCCCTCTCACCTTTACAGCCTGTTGTTGCTTCACTGGTCCCCTTTCAGATGCCTCCTCAATGACTGAAGGTTACACTGAAGAAAGTGAAACGTTGACTTTAATTAAATGTATTATGTCAACAGATTTCACATAACTGGATTAGGCTAGTAGAAAGCAATAATATTAAGTTGAAATGAAAAACATTGGTTCAACTTCATATTATTGCTTTCAACTAACCTAATACCAATACATTTAATTGAAGTCAACGTTTCAGTTTTTTCAGTGTAGAGGGTAAAAAGAAAACAATATATATAAATATTTACAGGGCCGTGCCTGGCCAACTTGAGGCCCCACGCAAAGTTAGATGATGAGGCCCTCTGTTTCGCGAGCGTCGACGGGGGGACGGGGGGGTGCTAGTGGAGCCTCGCAGCGGCAACACCGTGCCGCGCCACACTAATTGCGCCGCATAAACGCATAGGTGCGCCGCATTTGCGGCTCAGTTGAGGCTCCCTCCGCAAGAAGAGGCCCCCTCTCCGCAAGAAGAGGCCCCCTCCTCAAGAAGAGGCCCCCTCCGCAAGAAGAGGCCCCCTCCGCGAGGTGCGGCCCCCACGCAGTCTGCGTGAACTTCCAGTGGAGTCATTATTTGTATCTGTAGTGGCTTAACATTAGTCAACTTATCCTAAATAAGTTGTCAATAAGTTGTCAATTTAAACAATTAAATGGTCATGGCCCACAATCAATTCAACCTTTTTTAAGAAGTCTGCGGTTCTTGGCTCCTTTAGAGGGGTCTTGTTAGAACAGACATTGTGGATCCATTAGGTCATATTCATTTTCAGACTTTGAAGGAGAAGGTCCCTAAAACGGAACATGTGTCCCGGTGCGTTTATCCAACCCAGTTCAGATTGAACCACACTAGCCTCCCTGGCTCTGCGTGTGATGGACATAAAAAGAGGACCTCCCAGTCTAAGTGAATAACGTTGGAGTAACGGAATATTTGTTATCCTCTGACAGTGTTAAAAAAAACTATTAACATTTACTCAGCTATGCATAACTGTGATCTTCTTTCATATTAGAAAAAAGTCAAACGCTATTTTCATCTACTTTGAAAAAGATGCTCAATGAATCGACTGTAGCTGTCAGATTCATATTTCGTGATGAAAACTGACGCTCTAAAGCTGCACCGGCTGAGAAAAAACCCATATCGTTTTTGGCGACGTTCTCTTTATACGTCCATGCCGAAGTGAGCGTGGTTAAATGTTAACTGGGTTGGAAAAACGATAGGTGATGCAGCCATTTGAAAACAGTAGTACTGGCCTTGCATTTCTCGCCCCTTTAAACAAAAAAAAACATTCTGTCATTTATACCCTCTTCCAAAAATGTTCCCCCCTGTCTCTCAGCAGAAACTCAGAGAATATCCTCCGAGTTTAAATCAGCTGGGTGATTTTTACTATAAAGCCATTCTTTTTCAGTATGTTGGTTCTGATGTTGTTAGTTTAAGTACGGAGCACAGACATTCTGGCAAAAACAGGAGACGCTGCTGAACTAGAAGAAAGCCAAGAAAAAGAGAGATCCAACGTGGGGTCGGAGTGTAGGTCCGAACTTTCTCACTGGAATCATTCTAAGAGTTTTCCTCCAGGTTTGGTCTGGACCCCTGCATCCTCTTCCCACACGGCCTTTCCTCTTTCCCCCCCAACTGGATCACAGTGGGGAAAGGTTTTAAAACTGGCTATATTATAAAGAAAAGAGAATTATGCATATTTGCTGATGAACCGTGCTTTTTTTCATGTTGTGCACGTTGACTCTCTTTTTACTGTCTGCATCGTCTCAGCTCACCTTTAACGGGGGGGGGGGGGGGGGGGGGGGGGGGGGGGGGGGGGATGTCAATGTGCAGTTTTACAGCTTTGTGTTTCTTTTCATTCTAAATTGCTGCACAGTGTAGAAATGTACTGCACATACCAGATTTGCAACTAGATTTTCCAATGATTGATCACATGCTGTTTGGCTTTTTAAAATGATTTCTCATGTTAGCATCTTCTTGCTTTTACCATATGTATCAGAGCAGCTCGTCAAAGTCTTGCTTCTTCAACATGCAAAAATAACAGCTTTTGTAAGGTACATACTCAACAGAAAATGGCATAAATATATTCACCATGTATGCGTGTATGATGAGATGTTGCATCTTCTGCTAGCGACGCCTTCTTTATAGTAAAGCTATCTCCTTTTCTCTATCCTGACGGCTGGTCTCTCTGTTCCTCCCTGACCTTTTTCCCTGTTTTCAAAACAGATTTGTCTGCAGTGTTAAAGACTAGAATGTGCTCTTATTTATGATTCTGAGAGCACAGCCTCCAGCTCAACAGAATTCTTCAGACATGGGAAAGATGAATGTTTTTTGTCTGAGAACTGACTTCATCACAGGTACAGCTGGCTGTTTGCATCGTTTTCTTTAGAAACCATGCAATCAGCCAACACTGTGTTCCTGTCTAGCCACCAGAATCTTGAAGACAGTGCTACATTTCCATGAAGTGATATCATTCATACACCACATCCCTTGCAATTTGGGGGCGGAGGAGCTCACAATGGGCAGGTCTGTCACAGGCCTTGCACATACATTATAGAAACCAACCTACCAGTGTTAAGAAGAAACTAGCACACCAGAAAAAACAGATCCAGTATACCCGACAGGTTCGGAACTGGGGGGGATGAACCTTCCGGCTGTCAGGCTCCAGTACCACTGCTCCACATTCACTCAGTATACCTCAAAGCAATTTCCACCCAAAATATTTTAAGTACTGTATACAACAAACACAACTAATACACTTTTCTATTTTCATTAAATAACCCTTTTCTGAACCTTATCTCTTGGAATGAGAGTTCCTTCAACACTGTGTAAGCTTGGAGTTCCGCAAAGAACAACAAATGCCTCCAACACTGTCACCTCACTCACAACCCAGCTTTTATCTGTTGCTAAATAAAAGAAGGACTTCAAATAACCATACGGTACTTACACAGTATGAGAGACAATCTCGCTTTTTCTGGTATGCCAGAATTGCCAGCCCTGTGATAGAACTGCCAATTTTCAATAGGTCTCCATCTCCTCAGATGTTGGGGATTTTCACAAATGTTTCCTAAGAATTCTTCCACATCTGAGGTAGTGCTCCCTGTATACAGACAGGAATGCCCTTCAGTTGACTGGAGTCTCAGCACATTATCCCATGTAATCCTCATCCCATCCCAGCCATATCCCCTCCAGACCCACATTTGGATGGATGACCTTCAGTGAAGTAGCTTCCACATTTATGTACATATACTGTGTGTAAGTAACCCTCTCTGTCCCCTTGATGCTTTGCTGTTACACATCTTTCTCCACTAGAAATCATTGACAATACCTCCATGACCTGCTCTGCCAGACCCTCCCTCACAATAATGTTGAGCACTTCTGTGAGGTGCATGTAATGTCTAAAAGCAATCATATAAAACTCTGATACTTTAACAGGTATTATGTGTAAAGGCTTTTAAACCCTCCAGACACCACACTAATCATTTACAGCCATGTTTCAGCCCACAAAGCAACCGAACCAGGACTTTATAGTCTATTGATTTATCCCCTGTACCTAAGGATAAAAGTGATTACACCATTCCCATTAAACTGCCAAGCCCTCTAAGTTCTTTTTAGACAGACAAAAACCCCTCAAACGTTCATAAATCTAGTTGTGAGTGTAACAGAAATGGAGAGATCACAAAGGAGTGGTCTCTTTGGTGGTGACATGTTTTATTAAAGATGGCCTAATCCATTCCGCCTTGACCCCCTCATGGCTGGTAAATATTAATATTTCAGCCCACCATTGACTACTGTCCCCTCCAGCGCATACATTAGTGGGTAAAAGGCCATTAGCAACCCAATACCTAGCCTGGCAGACAGGGGGGGGGGGGGGAGAGTCTCAGAGGAAGTGTTGGGTAATTATGACATCTTCCACTGAAAAATACATGTGTGTGTGTGTGTGTGTGTGTGTGTGTGTGTGTGTGTGTGTGTGTGTGTGTGTGTGTGTGTGTGTGTGTGTGTGTGTGTGTGTGTGTGTGTGTGTGTGTGTGTGTGTGTGTGTGTGTTCTATGTTAAATGCAACACAAATGTTGCTCCTTCGATGGTCAGAACATAAAGCCTTTGGCTCAGGCTTCGCTCCTGTGTTCATGCTGAAGAGAACATGTGATAAAGATACCATATAGAGCTCTTATTGTCAGATCATGATCATCCGTGTGTTAAGAAAACACAAAATGCTTGTACTCAAATGCACGACTCTGGACAAGGTTAACAAATCAGAAAGTCTTTAGTTAAAGAACAAACAACTCACAACAAAAAATCCCTCTTCTATGAGGCAACACGTATCAGAGCAAGCTGCAAAAACATCAAACTAAATCAACTTGGTCAGAGGAAATATTTTCACAATGGTTCTTTGCTTGCATCGCTGTATCTCTTGACTAACATGAAACAAGACGAAGTGGCACAGGACAAAGGGAGGACTATTTATACAAGCGGTAAGGGGACACAGGTGGCAACATTCAAGGGAGGGGCCGACAATCCCACTGGCAGCAAAACACACACTGGCAGGAAGTAAAGGGCTCTGAAAGGAGAAAGAAAGGTACAGTAAGTACAAAATAAAACAGGAAGTTCAATGACAGGCAGTGCATGACCAGACTAGACATACGTGACTGTAAGTGAACAAGGAGACACGGCTAAACATAGACTATAAACTAAACATCATCATATAGGTTGCTGGGTGACGAGGAGCACCTGGTAGGGACCCTGCCAACGGCTGGATCTCCAGCTCTTCCTTCTGAAGTCCTTGACCAGCACGAAGTCGCCTGGTTGGATACGGTGGAGCGGACCAGTAGCTGGGGTAGGCAGAGCTGCTGCTACCTGATGTCTGATATCTGCTAAATTGGATGACAGGTTAACACAATATGACAACATTGAGTCTTCACACAGGGTTGTGGAAGGAAGGGGACATCCTGGCGCCTCGATTCCTATCTGTGGAGGGACTGCAAAAATGATTTCAAAAGGGCTTAGTTGACTCCGTGCTCGTTTCCGCATCCTCATGTACATCAGCACAATGGGCAGGGCCTGTGTCGAGGATAAACCTGTGTCTGCGCAGCATTTGGCTAGCTTGTTTTTGATCGTACTGTTCTCGCTTTCCACTGCACC